ATTCATTGCTATCCCTCTTCACCTGTTCTGTTTTAAAAAATAAGTGATATACTTATTCCGGTTTATAGAACAAATTATTAGGTATGTCAACTCAGAGTTGTCGTAACGCAGGGAAATGGGTCACTAGGCCATACCATTCTATAGTTGTATTGTTTAACTATCTTGTTATCAAACTGGACACGATCCGCTTTATAGTAAGCCCATTTTACAATTTAAACAACCGGAATATTACTCAAAAACTTCTTACCCTATAACGAGTATAATAGCAACTTGAAACACCTCATACATGGCTTGTTTGTTTGATCACTAACTAGGTAACGCCATTGTGGCAAAGTCCTGATAAATATACTTATTCATACTTATGTTATAAATGTAAAAGTGAGTTTGTTTGTGTTTCGCCTTCAAAGATTCTTTCACCAATAGGAAGCTACATTATGAGCGAGTGACATAGGCTACTTTTTACCGCGAAAACCGACATAAACGCGGGGAAAAGCTTATAAAATATATTTGCAAGAGAAAAAGTGGAAAAAAGTCAGTGATGTATCTTTTCGTCATAGGAATACAAGACATAGACTATTCGACGGCTTGTTTTCTGATTATTTAGTGCCAGTTTTAAATTTAGACCAATTTCCGTACGAAATTTCTGCTTTCTGGGAATTGTAAAAAGTAGTCGTTAAATCCGATAATTGCAACATAAGACCAGAACAAACAATTACTTTGTTAATTCTACATAAATCATCATATCGCAAATCATTTATATTTCACCAGAAATAAGCTATAGGTATGTAAAATACCTGACATTCTGCAAATATATTTCAAAGTGACAGGTGACAACGTACCTAGTTTTCTTTAAAAAAGTATAGCTCTGTAAATAAAGTTGCCAATCTTGTCATGTCTATTGGAGTCTCTCTGGTGGTCGGTCGCATTGAGGCGCTGGGCTTACGGAGGTCCTCTTATTCCATGGGCCCCGTTCTGGTCCACCCTCTGGCGCCTTAACAGTGGTCAACTCGGTCCTCGTACCGGTTCAGGCCCAGATGAAATATCTGGGTCTGATCCTCGACGGGAGGTGGCATTTCCGACAGCTTACTCCAAAGCTGGTACGCCCCTTCTGCCCTACCCTTTCCTTTCGGCTGCTTCGGGAAGAACCTGCACTCGGTCGCTAGGAGCGAATTGAGTCCCGCCTGTTACCACTGTGATTGCAGTGAGGACTCGACTCAGCACACGCTGGCAATTTTCCCAGCTTTGGCGCCGCAGCGCCGGGTCCTCATTGCAGTCATCGGGGGGATCTCTCGCTACCGGCCATCATACGCTCCATGAACGGCAGTGACAGATGTTTCAGCGCGGTCGCATCATTCTGTGAGATGTCTTCGCAGAAGAATGCGACCGCGGCGGAGAGGGCCCGGGAGGACAAACTCCACTCGGACCCAATCTGCCGCCGGCGAACCGGGCGGCGGAGGCGCGCTTACCACCGCCCTGCCGCCCTGAGTGTGGCCGCGGGTGGTCGGGACGGGTTTTCCCCTCCACCCGACATAACGGCCAGCTGCGAGGGGGATTCCACACGTAAAAAAAATGGTAACCAGGCTGCTGATAAACATATGTACTTATATAGTTTTAACTACATACATATTATACATAAATTAAATCCAGACAAAGAACAAATGACTGTGCTCATTACGTCCTGTGTGAGAATCGAACCCACGACCTCCAGTATAGCGGTTAGGGTTAATAACCACTAGACCAAGAAGCCCCCTAAATCCCCTAAAGCCCCCTAATCTGTGAACAATGAATAACAATAGGCTAAATCTTCATTGTACAAAAGTGATTTAAAAACCAGTGCAATAAGGAAACAGAAAGATTGTTTTAGGATTTAAAAATAGTGATATTGTAATTGTTCAAGAAAAACAAAATGCCTTTTATTATTATTTGCGACGCAATATAATGGCAAATATTTCACTGAATTGCGAAACAGAGAAAAATAACTTTCTCACCCAAGAACTTGTCTATGAATCATAGTTTTTTTTCGTATGAAGCGTCGATATTATGTTGCAGACATACGGTCGTCGATATTGGACCTTCGTAGCGAGGTCTTGGTCAGTGTTGTTCCATTCATTGAACTATTTTTGAGATGTCTATTGGCTACTTACATGTCTGATAATTGTTTTACACCTGGGTTAACGCCCTTTGTTTTATCGCTACTACACGCTATTTATGCGTGTGGTGACGAATTAAGAATACAGAGTGTCACCACCCCTATTCATCCCGTGGGTGTCGTAACAGCCGACTAATGGAACAAACTTTGCAGGACAATAGCATTGCAAAAAGAAGGAAAACTTGAAACAAACCCTATACCAACCTGTCTGGCCAGCGTGGTATAGTAGGCCAAAACCTTCATTGTAAGGAGAGGCCTATGTCCAGCAGTGGACTGGTAGAGGCTGTTGATGACGACGAACGCTGTTTGTAATACATATTGTTTTTTCATCTGTGAAGTCAGGAGACGATTTCAGTCCTTGTATAAATCTTCACAGAGCTCAGTGAGTAACGATACGAGGGATTTTGTGGGAAGTGACTACCTCCGTCCATATTCACCTGGAACTCAAGACACGAGTGCGTTGCCGCTCCCTAATTAGGGGGGGGGGGGGGGGTTGTTCCTTCGGCAACATCACTCATTCAGGGAAAAGCAACAAAAAAATTACCTATCAATAGTTGTCACGAGTACACTCGGATACAAATTCCCTTAGATCTTAGCAAACCTTTTTTCGATTATGACATAGATATTATATACATAGAACAATTATTGATTAATATAGAAACAGACTTGTCAATTCTTAATTTATATCCTTTCCTTTCATTGACAATGCCGTCCAATTCATACTTCTTATTGTAACGTGTACCATATATATTATAATGGTCCCGTGATCGACAAATTTAGGTCTGCCTCTGCTAACGGAAAAGCCGAGGTATTTAAAACAACCAATAAGGTAGTTCAACTGACATGACACATGAAAGGTTGATCACATAGAAATTTTAAGTAAATATTCCCTCTATACTCTCTCTAAGAGTAGAAAATAAAGTTATGGAGAATACATCTTGTTACAGATTATCATAATTTAGGCATTGATATCGAGTAACTTTTTTTTTAACTTAATCGTAAAGTCTTTTCGTTTTGAGCTTAACACTAAAATGACCTTTGTGGAATTTCACAAAACATATTGCTAGGAACACAGAAATTGACATTAACACCTTTTATCCAGACACAAAACTTCATTTAATACCGAAAGATTCATTATTTAGCTAAATCTGACTTAAGGTGAGCAAAGCCGCGGGAAAAGACTACCAATTCAAATTCACATATTAAAGTTACCAGTATGATGAAGTAAAACTATCGCCAATGACACTATCCTCTCAATTTTCTCGAGTTGTAACCCTTTACGAATTACGTCGTTGTCGATATCACGACTTCAAGTGTACCTACTTGTAACTCGCCTAAGTCCACGGCACCATCCTGTCTCACAAATACCATTTTAAATACTGCCAGATATTTTGCTACCCTATTCACGTGTGCCAATTGATCAATATATTTGGAGTGACCGTGAAGTGAGGTAAATTGATTGTTGTCAATATTGGCAATTTAAAACAAATTCCTACAAGAATAAATGAATTACAAACATGATTTATACAGTAAAATAAGTGAAAAAATACTTAAAATATTCGGCAAATTAAAACTGTTTGATATATTTTTGAAGCCAATAACCTTGTTTGACGGGAACAGCGTCATTATTCTTACTTTGATATAAGTTATTCTTATGGATTCATTTATTCTTGTAAAAGGTAGTAAATATAAAAAAAAATGTTTGTAGCCTTATAGTGTTGTTGTTTTACGTTTTTTGTAATATTTACAACTTATCTATTACTATACTATACTCATTGAAAAAAATTATAGATTAAATTATAGAGTATTGTTCTATTTTTGATTTCCCTATGTCACAGACACGTTACAGACATAAGCCAACATTGTTCGAATTTCAAATAATGAATGCAGAATATTTCAAAATTCGAACAGCGGTGTTTAATGCAGTCTGCATGTCAATTTAATAATAATATAATAGTAGTGGTCACACAAAACGATGAAAAATATGTAAACCAAAGTCCGCCTGTATTCGATATTCAAAAAAATATATTCAAAAATAAAGAATATGGGTTAACAAATACAGGACAAAATGTTTTCACTTAGTTTTGTTTGATGTAGTTTTTTAAGATTTCTATATTATTTTTTATAAGGTAAATAAACAAAATTTATGCTGTTAATCGTTACTAAAAGTATATATATTAAAAAAAAAAGGTATATAATAAGTATAGTATATATATTACAATCTGACTTGGAAAGATTTCCATTTGACGTTAGATGCTTATGTCAAAATATGCATAATATAAATACGTACGCATATGTCATACAAAAATATCTCTACATTGTCCATCATTAGTCTCACACAATAATGAATGTTATATACAATATATGTACATAGGTATTTGTAGGTACATATATCTCGATAATATGTACATCAAACTCTAAAGATACAATCTGGGGATTTCATGTGTGCCAAATGTATCAAAATCAACGCCGGCTTCTAGTGTTCATACATAAGCGTAACCGTAGATCGGCCAGCATTGATTTTTATTTGTTCTTATAGGAGAAATTACAAATATCAAGAAATCCGTAATTATATATATGAAAATATCGCTTTGAGAGCGATACCGGGAAAGATATCAACGGAACTTTGGTAGAAAAACTGTGCGTTTCTCGCCGTAGTTCGGAAACGCCGCCCGCGCACCTGCCCTCTCCGTCACTCTTCCAAATTTAAATCCCAAACTCCCCCCACCGTACGTTCGCTAAACATTCTGGAATAATTCCTGCGATTCGGCCACCGTTGCTCGCCATTCGATTTCGGGTCGCGATCGCGTCCAGTGATATTGTACCTCGGGAAATAACTTAAACAAGTGCCATGGCCGACGTTGACGTACAAGTCCAGTACACCACCACGGAGCGCAAGACCAGGAAGGTCAAGAAGTCCTCCAAGCGCAGGGAGTCGAAAGATGGCGAGGTTACCGTTACTGAAATCGAACAGACCAACACTACGACCGGGAACGACGATGGGTATGTGTTGTGGTGGCCAAGGTCCCGTGTTTGTGTGACGATAGTGTGTGTCCAGTGACCCTCTAGTGATTATATAGTACATTGTTTACATGTACTAAGTTACGCGTGTTTTTTGGCCACCCTCACATACCCGACCTAACTTGAGGTACATATTGACTGTTTCTTAAATCATACCACACTTAAATATGTTTATTAAAATTGCAGTTGGTTTGTTTTTGAATTATGATACCTACGAATATTGATTTAAGGAATAAAATGTAATGTTCACTTCTAAAGGCTACGACAACCGCTTAACCCAACACAAGACTCACCTTAACTGTATAAAAATCTAAAATGGAATGAAAACTCTACGTGTGACACAAAAACCTTTAAATTGTAAAACCGTATAAAAAAACATCAAATAAGTTTACTTGTACAGTAACATGAAAAAAGTATGTTGTCTATGCTACAAGTTTTCTATAAAGCTCTAACCCTACTTTCATTTGTCCACAGCTTATTTTCAGTGGCGAATACACCAAGGCGATGAACAAGGACTGGCACAGCGGCCACTTCTGCTGCTGGCAGTGCGATGAGTCGCTCACCGGCCAGCGCTATGTGCTCCGTGACGAACATCCCTACTGCATCAAGTGCTACGAGAGCGTCTTCGCCAACGGTTGCGAAGAGTGCAACAAGACCATCGGTATCGACTCTAAGGCGAGTACAAAGAGCTCAAAATCCAATTTCAATTATTCTCTTACATATACCGACAGAAATCAGTAGTGTCAAAAGGAGAAAGTTTGAAAAAGGACTAGAAAGGGACGAATTGAGTCAGTGAAGTTATTTTTGGTTTTATCAAATCAATTATAATGAAATGGATCGCAGTGACAAAATAGCATTTTTTTGGAAATAATATTTCCGAAGCTGGGTGGTTTACATTGAAAATAAAAATAGTTACACTTTGAAAGACTTACACTTTGTGAGACGAAAGCTATTTGAGTCAATAAATAACTCTCGGATAACAGATAATCTCATAGATAAATTGTCGAACAAACGCAAATTGGCAGAACACTAGGTCTCTGGCAGCTTAATTAAGAAACCAATTGGAAACATATACGAGAACTTTAACTAATATATTAGTACAAACTGATATTCTGTATTATTGCCTACTCGAAATTTAATCCTTAACTATATATTTTTCATTGACACAGTTATTGACACAGAATCCTGTTCTATTAGCGTTCGTGATCTCTGTAGAATTAGAATTTAAAGCATTCGTCAGCTTTGTTTCACCGATCAAATTTAGTAATGTCACTCCAGCCGGCCCAGATTCTTCGGGCGCACCTCTGCACACGGCCCCAAGCCGACGGGTGCCAAGCCAACATAACGATACGCTAAACTAACTATCCAATGACTTTTCTTGTCTGTACACAGCTGTAAATTCTCACGCAAACGATTAGCTCATCATCGTAATGTATTCTTCTGATTAGAAATCTATCAAATTTATATCATGAGAAATTATTGCATTTAAAATATGATTGAGTCTGTATCGCTGTAATTAACTCTAGGTAGATAAATAGAAGTGATCCTGTGGGATTATATCAGCGGTCATGAACATATTATTAATTTGTTGTTTACGTACGCCGAGCCAGCGATATTGTTAGCAAACCTCCGACTGTTTATTGTAAAGACGATATTTGAACAAATCGACGCTCGCCTACAGCCGCTGGCTAACACTATTTCGGGGTCGGATACAGTATTTTGATGTTTTCGTTCAGAGCCAACCTTGAAAGAGCGTTGTGTGTATCTGTCAGGCGATTCTTTAAAAGATTTACGCGGTACAAGAAGCTTTAAGTGTTTCGTAATCAGCCAAAATAAACATTCATATTTTATTGACATTACGACATTTGCTGCTTTCATACGTGCGTTCTTGCAGTCCTCACCGCGACCAGGAATAGATTCCAGAATGAGGGGAGATTTATTTTGAAATTCGAACTTTGAATACGATGTGCGAGAATATATTACAGTTTTTAGTTGTAACGAAAGCTTGGGGTGATCTAAAATGGCGAATGGTGAATAAATAATTAATGTATTATTATTTAGTAGTAAGTTTGGCGTTACGTGGCCACTGAACCTAATATAACAAATAGCATTCGAGTGTTTATATGATATCATTTTCTATTTATGAATCATGACCTGAAATACCTCGGTATACAATTGAAACCGACCAGGCTCTAATTTTAGAAAGGCAAAAAATTTCATGTCACCGTTGTTTTGAAGCATATTTATTTACTCGGATATTTATTTCGTTTTTGACACTAGTATTGTAAACTAAAAAAATACAAAACATTGAATCTTTTCACCGAGTGAATGAGGTTACAAATTTACTGTCTCCAAATCTTTAAAAGAACCTTAGAACTTGTAGTATTTAAATTACACTAATACTTAAAAAAAACGACATGTCATTAGCACGTCATCCTGCCCCCTGCTCCAATTTCTTTTTGTTTTTTTTTTTGCTTCTATTTGACACTAGAAAGGTTTCAGCTGATTTAATTTATGGACGGCCGCCTGCCTGCTGCCAATCCTCTTCGGAAATTCAATCGTTTTTAGATGGAACTAAGGAGGTAAATTGGAGTAAGCCAAACGAATAAGAAAGGATTTCGTACCTATAGGTCCGTCCTAGGAATGAAGAGCCCACTAGGACAGAGAAATCAAGTAACCCATCAGGAAAAGATAAATAATGGCAAACGAACAAGCGGGTCACCTGATGGTAAGTGACTACCGCCGCCTATAGACAACGGCAACTCAAGAGGTACAGGTGCATTGTCCATTGAGTCCTCCTTTGAATCACGGAAGGGTTTGGGCTCCGGTAACCTTTCTCACTGTGAGAAGCAACGAAACAATAGCTTAACACTGGTCGTCCGTGTGACCCTGGTATCACTCCTATCTAACCGAAAAATTAGGCTGCCCCAGATCTACGATTTTTTTTTCCAACCGGGGCAGAAACTTGAAAGTAGCGCCCCTCTCTCTTGCGTTTGTGATAAATTACTTACAAAAACTCACAAATATATAAGTTCTCTTGTAGTGTGGGCCTGTGTGGCGCCGTATGTGAAGCGCTTTGTGGAGCAAATTTTTTATTTTTAATCACACAATATTACAAGTTTGGCGCCCCCTGATACTGCCGCCCGGGGCGAATGCCACAGTTTGCTCCCCACCCCCTTCCTCCACCTACATCTGGGGCTGCCATTAGGACCGAAGCACGGACCTCCCACAGTATAACTTTGGAATACTCCAAAATATGACACGAACTGCTAAATCTATCCTAATAACAAAGTATATAGATCTAAAAACCTCGACATTATAATTCAAGTTAAGTACAAAAGACATAATGACAATGTTTCCTTATAAGTCATTAACAATTGATTACATTTCGTAAACCACCAAGTTGAAGGTCACAATTACCGCCCACGTACACATCTGAACATCTGTCACTGTATAACCTATTCTTGTTTTTAAATCCGGTTTCCCTCGCAATTGAAAACCCATCTGACGTAACGATAAAATATATGCTGGCCGCTTTAGAATTAAAAAAAAATGTGTTTATGGTGACTTATATTTTGTAAAGGCTAGCTTATATAGGTGATATATTGTCATGGCTATTTATAGTCATTATTATATATTGTATTAACAATATTTTTATTGATAGAGTCAGTTTCACTGTACCAGTTCGTTTTTAAGTTATTTAAACAATTTATTAACCAAGCACTTATTAATTAGCTACAAAATGATGGAAAATAATTGTGTCAGGATGATTTAGGATTAACGGGCCTTTCGGGATAGTTATTTAATACAGTTTGAAAAGCTATCGACATTTACAAATAACTGAAACAACTAGTAAATGCTTTAATAATAAAACTTGAGACATTGTACAAACGGCCGTCTGATCCTAAACTTCGCAGTCTAAAGACTCAAGCACAAGCCCGTTTCAGTAAGATACAAACACTTTATAATAATTTAAAAATATTCATGTTTCGTTTCGTTAGTACAAAATATTAAGATTATATGATTGATGTGAATAGAAATGGCATAAATATTTAAATAACTTTAAAAGAAAATTATTATATATTGTTTTTTATAATTATTGTTTTGACAACACAGATAATAGCCGAAGACCAAATATCCATGAGCGAATGTGGATAGTAGAAAAAAAATTCTGGCACTCTGTAACAGGATAATAAAAAATTAGACTTAAATGTCGAAATTTGGCATTTATAATTTAACTTTTTTCTCAGGACCTGTCGTACAAGGACAAGCACTGGCACGAGGCCTGTTTCCTTTGCGCCAAGTGCCGCGTCTCCTTGGTAGACAAGCAGTTCGGCTCCAAGCTCGACAAGATCTACTGCGGCAACTGCTATGATGCTCAGTTCGCCAGCCGCTGCGACGGTTGCGGCGAGGTGTTCCGTGCTGGTATGTACATATAACCTTTAGAATTTTAGATAACGATAAAAAAATTGTGTTCGGTGTTTAAAATTTAGAAAATGTAACACTAAGGTCGTATTAAAGTAACCTTAAATTATCTTGGGAATTCGGCTTCAAAAAGGAGGAGGTTCTCAATTCGATTGGTATTTTTTTTTTATGTATGTACACCGATTACTCTGAGATTTATGATCCGATTAACGTGATTCTTCTTTAGTTTGATGATGACCATTTGGTCCCATAAAAATTTAACATAGTTAGGCCCAGTAGTTTTCATTTTATGAACATTTTTAATGAATATTATTAATATATGTAGTTGCCTGAAGGATGGCTGGTATACGCATCATGCTCGTGAACTCATCATCACATAGAAATAATTGTGCGCCGTTGTTTTACATGAATGATGACTGACTAGTATTTAACCGCGGCTTCGCTCCCGCTATTGTCAATTTTTTCCTTGGTGGATAGTAACAATTCAGATATGTTCAGTTCTGGCGGGATTGAGTAACAGACATACATACTTACATACGAGTACATCTTTACAAACATTCGCGTTTATAATACTGATGAGATCCAACTAGTACCTTGTAAAAAAGCTGTGAGAAGAGTGTCTTTTGAGTTTCTTACCCGTTTTTCTCTATAGGATCTACGTATTGGAACAGGTATAAAAATATAAACTGCTAGACTGATTTATTCTGTTTGACAATTCAAAAATACTTATAATTGAAATAAATGAATTTGATTTTAAAACAAAATATGTTAAAAATAAATACTGCAACGACTCTAAGCGAAATTGATTTAATCTCTATTACCGCGATAACGAATTTAGGACAGAACTCGTAAGCTTCAAATCTTAAGACTTTCCATTATGAAACACATCAATCACTTCTCAATGTCAGTAAATTAAATGTGGTATATTTCTGTATATTACATCGTAAAATAGATAAATAAATAAACATACACTATGATCAAATCCAGGTCTTAAAGATTAGTTGGAACCCATCTCGGTTTAAAACAAAAATTAGTTTTCATACTACTGTGCAATAAAAAACATAATTATTGCAAAATTAAATAATAAAAACTTCTAAAAAGTGTCTAGTGAGCAATACTATAACTCAAAATTTTCGATGAATCATCCCAAATATTAAAAACGTCATATCCTTTAAAGATGAACGGTTTTTCTCATGTGTTTTTCGGGATGCAGTTCGGACCCGAAAGCAGCCTTTTTTCAAGAAGTGTAACGTCCTACCACGACGGTATCAAGCGTCACACTGATCTTATTCGTTACGTCACATTAGCAATATACAATTCTAATTATAACTATTAAGGCTACTGTCAAGTATAATAACATAATTAAGAAGTATACATCAATAACTATCTGTCAAGAACTCAGTAATAGTGAAACGTATTGGTATCACCTGTTAATAAAGCATTCCTCACATATTATGACACATATGGAAGGTTTATGTCATTTATTAAAAGAGCAACACTGTTAAAAACCTTGTTTGACTTTTTATTTATATTATTTATTAGGTGTGGCACATTGTGCTTGCATTGATGAGAAATGAGGAATAAAATTGACGCGAAAGGTAGATAAAAACCACCTTTAAAGCGTGTTGTATATCGTGTCAAAATGTAAGCTCAATCGGCAGAGAACTTTTGAGTTTTGAAGCGTACAAAAACCAACTTAACATGTTTATATAATAAGATATCCTCGCAGCAATACGGCTCCAACGATAAAATAATTTTCACTTTCTTTTTACAAAATACTTAATTTAATGAATATAAGAATACTGCGAAAAAACAGTACATTGATCGAATCTCCTTAGCTATTTGCTTGTAACTTCTTAAGTATTTATTCAAATACCCTGAAGATAAATAAAAAAGAACTGGAAAAGTCTCACACACTTCGTGAAAAAGACACAAAGAACTTTTCTGTACTTTTTTTTTTATTTTCATTAATGTGCCTAATATTTTTATTTATTTTTGTTAATGCTATTATTAATAGTGGATTCACGACCATCACATATCACTCGATACTCGAGACCCTGAACTTTCCTTTTACAATTTAACGTTACTCTATTATAATTAATTATCTCTAAGTAAAAAGAAAAAATAAAGAAAAGCACAATGGCAACATTTGACATCGCGATCACCACCTACTCGTACACTTAACACGAAAACAAGAAAACAATAAATTTATTACCTAATTCTATCACTTGTGTATCCACAAATCTCATTGTGAAGTCATCCCCATATAAGTGTTGTCGTTACCCTCACCACTTATGGTGTTGTAAGGTGAAGACCAAGAAAGAACTCGGCCACTGTCATTGCTATAACCTCGTACCCGCTTCCATGCACATAAGTGGAAATGAAATTTTCAATTTTCGGCATGACAACACTTTAAGGTTGAATTTCGGAACATCTGGCTGTAGGTCTAGCCTTGTCAGACCTAAAAAATGAAATTAAAAATCGCAAGGCAACCGGTGAATGTTAAAAATTGATTCGAAATAAAAGATAAAAATTCGAAATATTTATACTCAAATCAAAAGCTGATCCAAATCAAATGTCACATTCAACCTGTGTTAAGAAATGGTTACCCATCCATAGAATGGCCAGACTAGGATTGCTTACTTTCCAACGTGTCAACCTACTCGGTTACCACTTAGTAACGAGACCCTCTATTGCGAAAGGTTAAGCAGAGATGTCATATAGAAAGCCTTTTAGTCATTTAGAAAGGTAGCTAGATATCTTAGCTACTCAACGAGGACAGGGCTGTTGGATTTTACCAAACATTTTATAATATTAAACCCAAAAGCAATATATCCCGATTTGAATATGGATCTCAAACAAGCGTCTTAATTCTTTTCTTTATATTTATTTTATTTCAGCTTGCTGTTTGAAAATTTCCAATGCACTGTGCAGCTACTGAAAATTTTGAATGGAAAAAATAATTTCGTAAAATATACATATTTTAACTCTGGTAACTTCGAAAACGACATCTTTGAAACATCTAAGTATCATATTTTATTAAACGCGTTCCTTTTTTAAACATGTTTTGCTTTTAAACATCTAAAGCTGTTGTGGTAACATGCCAACTACAATTTCCGAACGATTTTATTGTTTGCCCGCCCATTTAGAACAAACCGTCTTAACCCACATACGTATTTAGCATCCATTAATCGCTAAATAAGTAGCAATGTCACATTCAACCTGTGTTAAGAAATGGTTACCCATCCATAGAATGGCCAGACTAGGATTGCTTACTTTCCAACGTGTCAACCTACTCGGTTACCACTTAGTAACGAGACCCTCTGATATGTTAGTCTAAATATCTTTTTTATTTACGGCGTAAAGGCAATCATATATCTGACTTCTATTGTGACCTCTTTTTAAAACCTCTCGTCCATCTTTTAGAAAGTGCAAAAGGTTATTATATAAAAATGTTAAAACAAAGAAATTAATGAGCACCTTCAAACAACTAACGGAACTCGTTTAAAATATTTAATATCTTCAATAACTCCTACGCGGTACCAATTCTAGCGATGACGTTATAGTAGAACCTGAGTGGTATTGAATTGAGATAAATCTGGCAATAACTAATGGTTAATCATTACATCTCGGTAATTCATTGTTCGTTAATCATTACATCTTATTAAAACTGCTTTTATGATGGTAGGAAATGAATGTATACTAATAATAATAATAACCTCACACATCTCACGCACGCCTGTCTGGTTCAAAACTATGCAGAACTTCTACTATGATAACCAGACTGCTGATAAACATACTTGTATAATTCTAAATACATACATATTATAGATAAATTACACCCAGACACAGAACAAATGATCATGCTCATCACACAAATATTTATCCTGGGTGGAAATTATACCCACGTCCTTCAGCATGCGGTCAGGATTGATAACAACTAGTCCTACAGGCCTGTCAACGGAGGTGGTAATGTTAATAATAAATAGGTGATGTACTTGTATTGATTGTTTACAAAAGGTGGGAGTCATTCTTCGGTATATAGGATCACTAGAACGATACCAAAGCCCCACTAAAAACCGGTGTTAAGGCATTCTTCCGCTGCATTTCACTGTCAGTACATATGGAAATTATTGCTAATTTTAAACCATATTTATTTGATGAAATGATTGGGTTTGGTCATTGTGATTTCACCTATGATAAATCACACCTTAGATTTGGTCATGGGCAAAGATAAATGGCATCAAAATCAATCAAACTGACCTTTTTTTTAGATTTAGACCTTTCGCGAGTCTGGCACTAGCGTAATAATAATAATAAGTCGCAGGGATGTTGTAGATGAGTCACAGGTGTGATGAAATGATTGTAAAATCAAATGTTTTATCATAGCCGATTGTGATTTTATCCCAAGCCTAACTGTCAGGTTACCGGAAGCTCGAACCTTCCTCCTACTTCTGGTGGGAGGGCTTCAAAGGCTTACTTTTGAGTACAGTTATCCAAAGTATAGGTATTTGATGTATCAACCATGTAATATTATATTTCCTGTGTTATTGCTAAGGTAATACTAGGAATCAATCTTCAAATTTACAGTTAAGTTCACATAAAAACTTTTCGGCGAATTGAAATAACTAAGAAACGCTTCGAGCATCATTACTTAGCGAATCAATTACTGTAATTTAGAAATAACCCCAATTCTAGAGTAACAGTTATAAATCCATAGTAAAAAAATTGTTACGGAAATATTTTACTTTTTAAATTAAGACTTATACGAACGTCAAACTGGGCAAGACGACTGGAATAATAATAAATGGTGCTCAGCTTCTTCGCTCACATATTAAGAAATACGCCGTTTTTTATGGATAAACAAATCTTTTCCAGGACATTCATGTATGTTTTTTACTTCTACTTCTATATAACAACAATGATATTTTTTAGTATTACTAACTATTTCGCACAATGGCAACATTATTCAATGACCTGATAATGGATAACCGTTAATA